TTGGTGATTCAAGCCCCTCCGGGAGTGGTCGTAATGTTTTACATCAAGGTAAGACACCGACATTAAACAAAACAACTTGCCACTCTCAGTTGAGATTATGCAGACACCTCAAAACAGAAAGGTATTGTTTGTGTATCACCCGTAAGCATTAAAAATAGTTTGATCTTGTCCGAGAGAAATGCCTGCTGTATCATAAGCGCTTGTGTAACATAGATCTCAGTATCTTGTTCACGTCAAGCGCCTAGCGTTTGTTTTTGGTGGATCACCTAAGAAACAAGATTTTTTGCACTCTACGTGCTTTACTAAAGCACGCGAGAAATCTTTTCTTGCTTAACATAAAATGGTTCAACGAATTTGCTTATGAATATAAAACATCACGCGGTGTAGATTACAGGTTCTTTGACGCAAATTGGTCAGCGCGCTTGGCTGTCAGCCGAGAGGGTAGTGGCACAAGACCACACGGAAGCGGTCGCAGTGTCTTATTTAAGAGTGGGGCACCGACATGAAAAAAAACGTTTTGCAATACCGAGTCTAGATCATGGAAACACCTCAAAAGAGAAAAGGCTCGCTCTTTCTACGGGTATCATCGTTAAAAATACTGAATGGCAGAAACGTCTGGTGTATTATGAGTGTCCGGAGAGCATAAATTGTAAAACATTGTTCAGCTAAAGCGTCTGATGTTTTGCTTTTGGTAATTCAGCAAAGAAATGAAATCTATCGCACTCAACACGGCTTTCTAGAGAAGTTCAGAAACCACTTGCTGATTGACTTGAAAGAGATTCATTGTATTTTTTAAAAAATATACGACACTACGAGATGTTGAGAACAGCTTCCCCGACGCAATCACTTAATATTTAACTGAAACGTTGGTGGCTTAAGCCTCCTTGAGATTGCTCGTATTCCCTAATCAACTGCAATGGTGGACAACGCATAGATCCAGAAAGAGAGAACCGAGTGTATCATCATTGTCTGGAGGGCAGAAATACGAAAATATTTTTTATTCAGCGCCTCTCATGTTTTCTTTTCCGCAACTGAACAAAAATATGAGATACCTTCTGCTTGACAAATCTCTCTAGACAAGTCCGAAATGATTTATGTTTTGATCTAGACCAGCTTTGTATAGCCCTATTACAGACATAGAACATCATGTGATCTACTGGAAAACCTCTCTGGCGCAACCAGTTGGCGCGTCTGGCTTCCAACCGAAAGGTCGGTTTAAGCAAATTAGCCAGCGGTCAGTATGATTTTCATATACTCACAAGGAGGACATGAACCATGAAAGCCTGAAGAGCATAATTTACAGCGACGAAGTGCCTGGAAAAGTATACAGCAAATTTCTGTCTCATATGCAATCCTGCATGATGCACGCATTTCGGCGGAGGGAACTCTAACGCGTGTCATCAGCGTATGGAGAGTAGAAATGTAGGACGCTGTTCAATTACTGCTCTGATGTTTTGAATTCACTCCTTTACATATTCTATAAGATAATTTTTCCAGACCAGATGCGCACACCCTTCTCACAGATATGAAACATAACCTGGTGTACTGGATAGCTTCTGTGGCGCAATCGGTTAGCGCGTTCGGCTCCTAACCAAAACGTCGGTGGTTCAAGCCTACATGGGAGCGGTCGAAATGTTTTTAATCAACTAAAGAGCGGTTTGAATAACCGAGTTCACAGTGACGAACCAGCTCACAAAGTATCCAGCGAATTTCTGTATCAGCTACAATTTTCGACAGTGGAGAGATGACGGTGTAGAGAACTGTAACTTGTCTTTTTAGCGTGTTAGAAGGGGAACTGCAGAAACTTGTTCAGCTCCAGATTCTCATATTTCTTATTTATTTAATTACATACTTCCTGAGATGAGTTTTTTTATCTGCTCCTTCCCGGGACAGACAAAAATCGTTTCTCTTGCGATCTACACCAGCTGGGCACACATTTCTCACAGACACGAAAGGCAGCTTGAAGTGCTGGATAGCTTTCGTGGCCCAGCAGGTTAGCGCGATCCGCTGTTAATCGAAAGGTTGGTGGTTCAAGACCACCCGGGAGCCGTCAAAATATTTTTAATCAACTAAATCCCGTTCTGAATAACTGAGTTCACAGTGAAGAAATAGCTCAGAAAGCATATAACGAGTTTCTGTATCAGCTGCAGTTTTCGATACTTTAAAGATGTTGGTGTCAAGAAGTTTAACTTGTTTTTTGAGCGTGTTAGAAGGGGAAATGCAGAAACTTGTTTAGTTGCAGTTTCTGATAGTTTTCATTTATTAAACGGCATACTTCCTCAGATGCGTTTTTTTATCTGCACCTTTCTGCGACAGACGCAAATGGTTTCTCTTGTATTCTATACCAGCTAGGCACATATTTCTCACAGATATAGAACGTAAATTGAACTGCTAGATAGGTTCCGTGGCGCAATCGGTTAGCGCGTTCGGCTGTAAACCGAAGGTTTGGTTTTTCGAGCCCACCCGGGAGCGGTCAAAATCTATTTAATCAACTAAATAGCGTTCTGAATAACCGATTTCACAGGGGCGAAGTAGGTCGGAAAGTACGTAGCAAATTTCTATATCAGCTACAGTTTTTGATTGTGAACAGATGTTGGTGTTGAGAAGTAGAGCTTGTCTTTTCAGTTCGTTCGAAGGGAAATGCAGAAACTTGTTTAGCTCTAGATTCTGATATTTTTCATTTGTTATAAATTTTACAGTTCCCGAGATGCGGTTTTTCATCTCCTCCTTCGTGGGACAGACGCAAATCGTTTCTATTGCACTCCTCAAATCCTAGGCACACATTTCTCACGGACATGGAAGGTAACTTGAAGTGCTAAATATTTTCCGTGGCGCAATCGGTTAGCGCGTTCAGCTGTTAACCGCAACGTTGGTGGTTCAAGCCCACCGGGGAGCTACGAAAATGTTTTTAATCAACTAAATAACATTGAGAATAACCGATTTCACAGAGACGAAGTAGGCCGGAAAGTACGTGGCAAATTTCTGTATCAGCTACAGTTTTCGATTGTGAACAGATGTTGGTGCTGAGAAGTGTAACTTGTGTTTTCAGTGTGTTCGAGGGGGAAATACAGAAACTTGTTTAGCTCCAGATTCTGATATTTTTTA